AAATGCAAGCACTGTTAATGCAATGCATTATTTTTTCAGTTAGTGCTATTCAACGTGCTTTTTTGTTTCAAAGACATACGGCATTTTTTTAACTTCCATAGACGCAGAGGCCAAAAATCACCGGGAGCGTCACGCGTGCTTCAGTATTTGTTTAGTAAACAAAACCACGTTTCCGCCATTCATACATACAGAGGCAATTTAAAGTCAGTTTGTTTGTTATAAAGCAAATAGCCAATAAATGAATTTGCTTAAAAATCAGTATCAGCCAATTTGCTAGTTAAGAAAAAAAGAAAGAAAAGAATCTGAATCAGCTATGATCGGCACATCACTAATTAAAATACTAAGTAAAAGGCCTCTCAAATTTGAAGTACAATCTGGGATGTCTTTTTCTATCAATTCTTCAATAGTCAAAGTCACCTTTATTTATATAGCGCTTTTAACAATACAGATTGTGCCAAAGCAACTGTACAGCAATCGGTAGATCTTGTCTTTCATAAAGGCCGAGGTCAGGGATCTTGGGCCTAAAAAGGTTGGTGACCACTGATGTAGAACATTTTATTCTACTATTGATCAGAGTGAGCTGAGTGAAGGGAAGGAAGGGGATGAGGAGGAACCAATGCATATGTGAGAGACGTTTTCCCCATAGACTGTATAAAAACATGGACGTAGTGTCCGTGACGTCACCTGTAGAGTTCCGAAGAGCCTTTTTGAAGCCTAAAGTGGGCAGAGCGGGCCGTTGCCATCTTTGCAGAGCGTCACCGCGCGTCACTCCCGGATAATCGAAAATGGGCAAAGAGGCAGGAGCACGTTGCTGAAACCACGCCCACCTAGCTCGACGGCAGTGTCAGCAGCGGCAATCCACCTGTCACTCAAGTGGCCACGCCCTTAATTATGCAGAACTTTAAGGCTTAATATAATTTAAACGGTTGAGTTATAAAAAAATTCACCACCCTCACAGTTGTCATGAAGGGCAAAATTAGCTATATAGACCAAAATAATTTTTTTAACCAGGCTGTAAACATGTTTTTTTCTGCTGTAAATTTGGGCATTTTAACATAGGGAGTCTATGAGATTGACAGCCTCTAGCGGCCAGTCGATGAATTACAGTTTAAGTCACTTCCTTGTTGGCTTCACGAGAGAGAGCGGGAGGTTGCCGCTAGGGCTGTCGCGATAACCGCAATATCGCGCTATTGACGAGCAAACCGCAGAGGAATGCAAGAACCGCAGTAACCGCGATTTTTGCGTGTTTTATTTTTTCGTAAGGTTATGCCCTTCTCATTTTACACTTCACGCATGTGGACTAAATATTAAACAAGTTAGTAATGATAACATCATGTGTACCATGCTGATTTATACAGAGGCTCCGTAGATTTGCACTTAACAAGCCTAAACAGACAGTGAATGAGAGAGAGATCGACTGAGCGTGTGCGATTACTTGCGTCTGTCCTCCAGGCCGAGTCATATATATTTGTGAAAATAGGTTGTCATGTCCAAGGAAAGCGAAATCTCTGTCTTAGCATCGACGCATAGCTGGTCAGCTGAGCCTTCTAAAGTGTCGCTCAAAGTTAAAATGATTTCAACAGCGTGTTTCATTACGTCTCTTTGAATGAATGAATCCGCGTTTTTGAACGTGTAGTTGAATGACAGTCCCTTTCCACCACCTTGTGGCGCAACACTGTAACGGCACTGCCTGACAGCCCGTCTAGAACGCGCGCAGGAGGAAATATCGATAGAAAGTCTCTTGTCTAGTCAGATTAGAAGATCAGATTACAACTAGGCTGTTATACATATAGGCTAACGATAGACTAACAATCTTATTGTCAGGTTTATGTTCTGTTATGTGGACCGTTATTTTGTCATTCTCTTCTGTTTACTTCACTTCCTGTTTCAACGCTATTTGGTTTCGGTTTCATTGTCTTCTGAAAATGACCTCGTTAGTTATATCGTAACACATACACACACAAATTATATATGGCGGTAATACCGCTATTGAGTCACTCAAAATTACCGCAAGGGAAATTCCCTCACCGCGACAGCCCTAGTTGCCGCTTGGTTTTCCCGCGTTTTCTCTCAGTGAGATGTGGAAACAGATGTCTGTATGTTAATGCGCTGTGTGTGTATCGTCCGTCTCAGAAGATCAAAGTGTCTGAGGTTCTGGAATTCTTACAAATGTTACAGTATTCACTGTAGCCGTCTACTAGTAAAAACATAGTTTTATCAGTCATCCGTGTATACCACTGTTTTGCGTTTACTACAGTTCAGTGGATTACATTCAAACTACCCGAATGTAAGACGACCAGACCCTGAATATAAGACGACCGCGTTTTTTCAGATGTATTTCCAAGAAAAAAACATCGTCTTATATTCGGGACAATACAGTATTTTACAGGGGGGGTTTCTTCACAAGAAAAAACAATGTCATTTTGATGATCAAAGATTAGCTTTAACGGATAAAACTTTTGACTACGGGGGGGACTTTAATAAAGAAATGAAAATAAATATAATCACTTTGTAGTGCTGGGCGGTATGACCAAAAATTTATATCACTGTA